AATAAAAATAAACGTGTCATAATCTTAATAATTGTTATTTTTATAAAGTGACTTGTTTGACAATTTTGAAATTAGAAGCATAATGAATCTTCGGTTCATGTTATTAGTTATGATTACAATGTTGAAAAATTCAGTGGCTTCTCCATTTCATCAAAGAAAACTAACGTACAATAGAGTGATTTACATGTTTACAATTTATTTAAAATTGAAGAGACTGGAAAGTGCCAAAAAACAGAAGCGCAAGTGCTGGGTGCGACCGATATTTCAGCTGGAAAGAAGACGATTGCAAGGAGCAAGCGACAACTTGGTACTAGAAATGCAATTGAATGATTCAGACAAGTATTTCAATTACTTTAGAATGTCACCTGAAACATTTCAAAGACTATTAGTATTGGTTGGGCCAGGTATTACAACACAAGAGTGTATCAGGGAACCAATACCTCCTCGTACTCGATTGGAAGTCACTTTACGCTATTTAGCATCTGGTGACAGTATGACATCAATTTCATATGCATTTAGAATCGGTCATAATACAGTTTCCAAAATAATAGCAGAGGTATGCGAAGAAATATGGACTACCTTGAAAGAAAAAGTTTTTTTGCAACTTAATGAAACTAATTGGCATACAATCAGTGACGATTTCAACAAAGACTGGAACTTTCCACATTGCATTGGAGCAATAGACGGCAAACACATTGTGATGCAGGTAAGAAAATGATATAAATCTCCCTTTAATTATATATATGCAGAACATCTAAAACTTATGCTGTTTCATCTCAGATAGCACATGATATCCTTCAAACATTCTAACAATATTATATTGTGTATGAGATATAATCTGTATGAGATATGATCCTGTATGAGATATAATCAATGTACTTTATATCAAAATCTAAATTTATACTCAATGTCAGCATATGAGTGAGTTGCATTGAAAGACTGAAAGGCAGAATTCTATAGTGGAATGAATATTTTCTTTCAATTTTTCATTAGTGAACCACACTACGATATTACCACTTTTGTAATATACTTCAGTGATAAAAGAACTTAAAGGAAAGTTCTAAACGGAACGCTTTCTCTCTTATAATTTTTTATCTGTAAATTATACGGTTTTAATAAATTGCGATTCTGGAAAAAGTACGGTTTTATTAATTCTATCTTTTGAAACTTTTTTCTTTATAATTAATCTATATATATATAGATATATATAACTAGATATATATAACTTTTTTCTTTATAATTAATCTATATATATATATATTGATAAAGTGTAATTGTGCTGGAACACATAATTATAAAACAATTATTTTTACTCCTATTGTTTATAATTTCAGGCGCCAGCTAATAGTGGCTCTTGCTTCTACAACTACAAAGGAAACCATAGCATCAATTTGCTAGCCATTAGCGATGCTAAGTATCGCTTCATAATTGTTGACATCGGAGCTCCGGGAAGGCAAGGTGATTCAGGAGTTCTCACTAACAGCGGGCTGATGAATCTGTTGGAAGACAAGAAATTAAAAATACCGCCAGCTGCACAACTTGATGGCAGTAACGAAGAATTTCCCTTCGTTTTTGTTGCAGACGAAGCGTTTCCACTCACGACCTACATGATGAGGCCGTACCCTCGAAGTGGAAATTTAAATATAACAAATAAAATTTTTAATTATAGACTTAGTCGCGCGAGAAGAGTCGTTGAGAGTTCGTTTGGAATATTAGCTGCACGTTGGAGAATTTTTCGTCGGCCGATTATAGCATGTACGTCAACTGTCCAAAAAATTGTCCAAGCTTCAACAGCTTTACATAATTTTATTATTACTTCAGAAGAACATCTGCCATTGCGAGAAAGACGCTACCAAACTCTCAGTACTGCAGATCGTGAAATAATTTCTATGGGATTAGTAGATATTAATAAAAGAAACAGATATCAAAATCTTGAAGCAATTAGAGTGCGAAATGAATACGCGTCGTATTTTGAAGATGTGAATCCATTATCGTGGCAGTGGGATAAAGTACTCGCAAATGATTTTTAGTCTCTATTTAAATAATCTTTTTAAAAAAGATGTACATATTTTTTTCATTAAAATCAATAAAATAATAGCATAACATTCTAGTAGATTTAGCTTTAATTCCAACAATTATATTTTTTATTTTAATAGTTCTTTGGAATAAAATAAAACTGCATATATAAAAATATTAGTTATTAATTATATTATCTTAATGTATCTAATATCTTATATATCTAATATCTTATATATCTAAATCTGAACTCTTTTCTACTTCGATTGCCCGGGTGAGAAATTCCATTTGTAAAATCTCGCCGTTTGTTATATGGCAAACGCCGTAGAATATCCCCTAGCATATCGCAAAAGCTAGTGCACTGGATCATGAATTGGCTGGGATTCCTTGAGGTATGACATCAACTCAGCTTCAATTTGTGTAATTTCTTCGCTGCCTGTTAAAGAGAAAATAATAATAATTGAGTTTTATTATAATATTGTGACGTCCTATATCCTGCACGGTTTTTCCTTGCGCAACTAGAATATATATATATATATATATATATATATATACAATATATATACACATACGTAGTCGTTTCGAAACTCGCGAATTGCAGCTGACAGAACTATCCGCAGAACTACCCGGCCGGCTGTTGCTATCATTGCTTTTTTCTTCTGATTGGGGTCTTGTGAATGTTTCTATGTTGTCATCTACAGAAACATTTGATGGGTCTGAATTTTCGCGCAATGTCATCGGTAGGGAGCTGACTGTTCTACAAGATCATCAGATTTTATGTTATTATTAATCACATTTTGAAGCTGAATTTTATTAAGTTAAATATTCCTTTTTGCCAAGAGTCGTACAAATTTTAATTATGAAATATAGATTGGCATTCTTCATAGCACAATATATACATTAAATTTGTTAGGATAATACGAGCAATTTCAACGCTTTTTTAAAATAATAAATGAAATTAATGAAATAAATTCTCGATTGATAAAAGAAATAAATAAATTTATAGAAATATTCAAAATTGTACAAAAAATATTGAAGGGTTCATGTCATGAACATTATATGTGAATTATTTCAAATGTCCGTTATTTTATTTTTTTACAATATAGCAGCCAATTTTGAAAATTATGGTGCTAACATGGACAAAACTCAGAAATTTAATAATAAACATAATAAGCGAATTATTTGACCTATTTCATTGATATTAAATTATTCACAAATTACCAGTAGCGTTCGAAATTTTGTCTTAAAAGAAAATACGCTTAACAATATTTAATTTTGTTATAAAATATAAAAAATTTGGGTGATGAGGAAACTTACAAAGCTTATTAGTAGCTGAAATAAATTGTTTAAAATTTGTACTATATTTTTACAATTTCGAAATAATTCTGCAAATTTCAGCTTCATTTAATAATTTCCATGAAATAAAAAATACTTACGGTCCACTCTGGATGACCGATTCTAAAAACTGCATTCTGTCATAGAAGCGGAAACTGCTTTTAACAGGCCGGCCATCTACTGCACTTGATCCGCTCCGAACATAGCTCTTCATCAATTTTCTAGCTTTTGTATAATTGTCTCTTAAATATCCCCATCTTTTTTTGCATTCTACGGGACTCTTGACACCTGCAATTTTAACATAATTAAAAATAATTTATTGTAATCGAAATCACGCTGCAGTATATCCACACAAACTTGCATAAGTGCATAAGCATATGCATAAGAAAATGAATTGGTTTTTTTATACATATGTTTATGTGTTATACAAATCCGTCTGGATTGGCCTGTTACCTCACTTTAAAAGTGATGCATAACCTTTAACATTAAATAATACACGATCACCACTTGATATTCATACCACCCATTATGTTGGAAACTTCTGTCCATAAGGCGTCGGTTTTCAACTTTGTCCGATTTTTGTAGCCTTGCGAATGATCCCACAAAGGCCTTTTCTGCTCGACAGTCTCGATAAGCAATTCGTCAATTGCATCTGCTGATATTAAGGCTGTCAAGCCATTCTTTGCAGTACTATCGATTTTTGAAGCACTGCTGCTGCTGTTTTGCCTCTGCTGCTGCTTCTCCACTGTCTCTGGAGTATCTGTAAAATAATCATATTTCAGTAATTGTTATAGTATTCTTGAGGTATACAATTCCTTTCAATCATATCTTGTATAAATATGTAAGGAATATGACATTGCAATGTGTAATATTTTTGAAATGTTGCTGAAAGGTTAAATGATTATATCGAACTACGCCGAAATATACATTTTGAAAGCATTGTAACATACTCATTGTAACAACTTTGTCCTTGTCGACAACTATGACATCCACTTCCTCATCGAATGTTGCAAAACATTTATGTTTTATTAGTTCGTCCATGTCGTCCGACATTACCCACCCGCAATAGCCACATTTCATTCGCTGTAAAATAAGATACATTTATTAATAATTTATATTTATAACAGCTTGCATATATCAAATAGCATTTAATATAAAATAATATTTACTGCAGAATATATAGAAGTCATCGTGAACACTGACACAAAACCTAAAATTTACGCGTCAAACGCCGTAAGTGAGAGAACATTCATACATGAAATATCTAAAATACAGACAGACGCAATCCCTAGTAACTTTTGCGGACTTCCGGTGCGGATTACGGATTACGGGTTCTATGTGACGCCGGCCTAAGTCGTTCAAATATAACTGCCAGTCTCCTCGCCGAATACTCGACTGGTAAAGTACCCGACAACACCATCGACGACGTGTAAGAAACCGTCCGATAGAGACAACATACCCTCTGTGTGATCTTTTTTATAACCTTCTCCATCATTAATCTAGCCGCTTTATTTCTATTAAAAGATTCATACCAAACAAGTGCCCCGTATAAGATAACCGAGAGCACCATATTTAGATATAATTTCCTCTTCTTTTTATTCGGACCCCCACAATTGGGCATGATCCTTCCAAGAACACCAATAACCCTTCCAACTTTCGCAGAAACCTGTTTGAAATGGTAGGAAAAATTCCAATTGCCATCCAAAAATATCCCTAGATATTTCAAAGTATCTGAGATCCGTATATCTTTATCCTTGATAAAGATACTCTTGGAAGGACCACACCCCAGCACAGAGGCCGGAAAAACCATGACCTCTGTTTTGTGAGGCGAAATCTCCAATTTCACGCGCTCAATAGCCTTAATCACTATATTTGCAGAAAACATAGTCCTCTCCCGGACCACATCGTAATCCTCGCCCGACACCAACAGGATGGTGTCATCCGCATAGCCGAGTACCCAGCAATTCTCCGGGAGGGGTAAATTCAACACAGAATTATAACCAATATTCCACAGAGTCGGCCCAAGAACCGAACCCTGTGGAACACCACAAGACATCCGCGAAACGCACCACCATCCGCATTAATATATGTCAAGCTTCTTTCAGATAAATAACTAGATACCATCCTTTTCAGATACCCAGGGAATTCCATGGAGGTCATGGCATCCCAAATAACGTTCCAGGGCATAGAATTAAAGGTATTTTTTATATCTAGGCTGACTCTGATAACTATCCTCCCCATATTAATTTCCCCTGAAACTATTTCACGTAATCTTAAAATTGCATCAATAGTAGATTTTCCCTTTCTAAATCCAAATTGATTATTTAAAAGAGATCCAGTTAAAGCTAAATGATCATGAATTCTATTTACTATAATTCTTTCGAAAAGTTTCGACGATTCGTCTAGGAGACAAATCGGTCTATACGTGCCGGGATCTAGCCTCGGACCATCCTTCTTCTTTAATAAAACTAATCTGGCTTTCTTCCAAGATCTAGGGAATTTTCCTTCCTTTAAGCATGTGTTAAAACACGATAACCAAACCTCCATAAAGCTCCCCGCGCATCCCGAGAGAATACCCCCCAGAATCCCGTCTGGACCCGGTGCCTTTTTGCATCCGCGTATTTTTTTAAAGGCCTCCTTTATCTCCACTTCTCTAATCATTATATCATCGTTCCACAGGGGCGTATACTCAACCTGTTCACCAGAATCATCCTCCCCCACCGGAAACAAGGAGCGAACAATTCCGACTACATTTTCAGGTGGAAGCGTTTCGCAAACTGTATGTGAAGCAGGCCTAAGCTTCTTAAAAACCAATTTATATGGAAGACCCCAAGGATCCTCGTTTAGATCTCCAAGAAGTTCATCCCACGCTTTAGATTTAGCCCTCCTGATACCGATTCTATAATGCCAAAGAGCAGTACGATATTCCCTATATTTAGTAATAGTATCTCCATTCAATCTTTTCCTAGTTCTAGAAAGTGTCCTCCTAGCTGCTACCACAGCTCTCCTAAGAGTGTCAAGTTCACTATTCCACCAATAAGCGGAATCGCGAAAACGGCCACTATTCCTAGGCATGGATAAATTACAGATTTCTTTAAATGCTCTATTCAGCCAATCAACAATATGTTCAGATGTTCCCAAAGCCGACTCATTATAGTCCCATGCTTTCCTAGCCGCTGCCATTTTAAAAGATTCCACATCTAACTTCTTGTAATTCCACTTAGGAAAGCTGTACCCAATGGCCAATGACTTCTTTCTAGCTAGATTCGACTTTAACTCAATACTGATAAGTCTATGGTCCGAGAGAGTAACCGTGTTCTTCTCAACCACGCATTTTACAATTAAGTTTTTTGCTTTAGAATTACAGATAACTAAATCTACCACAGATTCCCCGCGATATCGAATACATGTTGTAGTAAAAGTATCGTTTACAACAGTAAGATTTAGATGATCCATCCAATCATGAAGAAGAACGCCTCTTTTGTTCGTACATTTCTTATCCCATGAACTATGACGCGCATTAAAATCCCCCAGTATAAAAAGTGGGGAATTTTTATATTTCAGAATAACCATATATAAATTCTCCAAAATTATATTGTAAGAAGGTAGCGATATATTAAGAGAAATATAACAACTAAAGATAATAACCTCATTCCATCTAATAACACAATAACCACGGCCCTTCTCCAATTGTAACATTGGAGAAAATATGTTTTTATTCCTACGCCACCAGATGGCAGCCTTAGGCGGAACTAGATCATCCTTAACCCACCTATCATCTTCGGGCACAGAATGCGGCTCACTCAACACAGCGAGGCCAGCATTTCTCTCCTCCATCAGGTGTCCTAAATTGTCTTGTGCTTGTTTTGAAAGATTAACATTGCATTGTAAAATTAACATTATTCAATATGATCTACACATTCCATAACTTCAACGGGAGACCCCGTCGTGCTCCGAGGCCTCCAAACCTCAGAATTCTTAGAAGTAGAGGGAAGGTAATTATCACTCTTCGCATTATCTTTATTTACAGTTCTCAAGAATGTTTCAATTTTTTTAGGTGGCACCGGCTTACAAATCGCGCTGCCCACCATATGATCCGCCTTAAGACCCCTTTCCAGACAGACAGGGCACACAATTTTATTCCTGCAATCCTGCGCCTTGTGATCTGCTTGACCGCATTTATAACAGTCAAACCTTCTTACAGCTGTGCTTGGACATCTTTGAACGGTATGGCCAACAGCGAGGTATCGGAAACACTGCATAGGTCTAGATTTCAAGGCCTCTACTTCAATCGTGGACCATCCAATTGAAATCTTTCCCTTCTCCAAAATTTTTACAGCAGCCGCAACCGGACATTGAAAGAAGATAACACCGAGGCCTCCACGTACATGCCGGAGTGCACCGCAGGTAATATTATCAATATCACAACAACCCAGCTTCGAAATAACCTCTTTAATCTCCCTTGCAGTAACTGAATCATCAATACCCGATAATCGGAGTTGCGATCTTTTTACCGGTCTACGAAAACTAATACCTTTAACGTTAAAAAATAATTCCCTCAGTTTTTTACACAATAAATCTGCTTTCATGTCCGCTTCTTCACCAGGTATTTCAATGAGGACACCCCCATTCGCAGACCGCTTAATCCGTGTACCGACAATATTAAGCTCCGCAAGAGAGATTCGTTCCCGCGCTTTACTCAAGACATCTGAGTATGTGAGATCACACTCGTCTAATAAAATAGACACCGCAGCTGTGTCAGGTATTTTTCTCTTTAAGTTAGATAAAAGCTCTCTATTTGAATTCCCGATCTTACGATTTTTTCCTATATTTGTAGGTCTGGAATTTGTGTCATCCGCTGAAGACAGCTTTTTGACAGGAGTTAAATCCCTTCCAACACCTCCATTCGCACCTCTCTTATTCCTACGAACCGTCGTCCACGCATTTTCATTTTGATTAACCGGAATTTATGAAACATGATCACTCTCACTAAAGTCAATAACATTATTAAGAAAATCCATATTTTCCAGTTCATCATCAAGAGCATTGTATGAGGATTCAGTTATTTTTCTTTTCTCATTTATAACCTCATTATCTTGCGAAGTTAAAGAATCCTCACTATGTTCCAAATTTACAGATTTCAATTCTTTAGATTTAACTTTATTTTTCTTTTTCTTTTTGTTCTTTTTTTCACTCGATTCATTAGTAACTTGACGGTCCATAGGTTTGAGAAAGGTACTCTCTTTCCAAGAAATTTTATCACTAGTACTAACCTTATTTTTCAGTAGTGAAGACGAAGCAGGATGATCTCTCACAGCACTCCGAGCCGTTCCAAAAAACGCCTCCTTCATCTGTCTCATTTCATGTATCATCTGGGTCATCCCGTCTCCAAGCCTATCCAGAGAATTGATAATAGCCAAATCCAGGCTTACTCTGTAAGTCACTACTCACTCCGCCCCTGCACTCAGCACTAACTGGAATTTCACAAGAAACTTTTTTTCTTCTCAGGTCTCTAGTTCCACCAGAAGAAGTAGAAGCCAACACCGGCGGATCAACATTCTTCGTATTAGCATCAAAGTCCACTGGTAAGTCCCTCTCATCTATATCAAATTCAGCCTTTATACGCTCCCTCCTTTTGACCTCTTTAAGTTCCACTTCTAGAGCATCAGCCCGGCATCTATTTTCCATTGCTGATTTCTCTATCTCACCAAACCTCGATTTCCAATAGTCCGGATCCTCTATCGACGATGCCTTAATCGACAATAAGGTACTGGCCCTGCGTATAACTTCCAAGAAAACCTTAATCTGGTCACTAAGAGATCCATTGATATTAGTAGATTTTCTTCTGATTTCCTCAATTCCGTTAACCATGTCCTTGATTTTATCATTAATAATTGTCGCATGTTCAAGTTCAAGTCCAGCCATCTCCTCATCAAGCCTTTTCTTGTTATTAACTGAGAAGCGAGAACCATACCTTTCTTCTTCATTTTCCTCGCTAGGTGGAGAACCTCTCTTTTTCCTCTTTCTTCCAGCTAATTTATCAGGAGTACAAATTAGTTCGGTCCGTTTTTTGTGTTCAAATTGCATTTATTTCAAAACAAAATTAATGAACAGATTAATTAAAGTATTGTCCATCGCTGGCTACTACTTTTTCCCATCTCTCAACCAATTTTCGAATTCCATCTCGAAAAATGACTCGTCTTTGGAGGCGATCCAAGTTTGGAGCCAATTTTCGATTTCTGCGAAAGAAGTGAACCGGTGACCTGCCAAATCGTGCTGCA